CAAATTCAGTTGGACCTACTTCAGAGACAATGGAACTTATTGCACGTCCAAAAAAGGTGTTTTAACTTTTTTGGCTTTAATCTTCTTCCAGGATACACCCAGATGTTATCATATGTAAGTTGCCACTGATTCTGCCGTGATGCCACAGGCCAAATACAGCCTGGGTCAGATACGGGTCGAAGGCACGTTCATCCAGCAAATTTTTGAAGTCGCTTCCGACTTCAAAAATTTGCTGACTGAATGTGGTTTCTACTTGTGTCTGCATTTGGCTGTATTTGGCTGGTGTCATCATGGCAGAATCGGTGGCAACTTACATATGACAACATCCAGGAGTATCCCAGAAGAAGACTGAAGCCAAAAAAGGTAAGACATCTTTTTTGGACATGCGATAAGCTCCAATATGTTTATATAGGAATACTCGTATGAAATATATTATGATTTCTCTTTGGATAATCTAACATATGGGATTAAGCTTGCCCCTTTGCCTCTGCTGTGTCTCCCTTTCGCCTCCTCCCTGATTTCTTTTTAATTCCCAAGGGCCTGTCACTGCATAGGACCATTCAGCAGGTGAAGGTAAATAGTACTTTTAGCATTCTATTGTTATTAAAACCTGAAATTTCTGTTCATCCTACAGCCCAAAGAATCCTAACTGTATAAAATGTCATGTCCAGAATCTAACTGATGAATAGGGTCACCAGGTCAAGGTCAAATCCTTATTTCTAGGGATGCCCCCCCCTTGTGATGTCACGATGTGGCTCTTGCTGATGTTACAAGGGTGCTGTTACAAGAGGCAGCCCCTACTGATGTCACTAAGGGTAATCCCTTAAACACCAAACACAGCTGCATAGACTATGCCAGGGGTAGGCAACCTAAGGCCCGGGGGCTGGATGCGGCCCCCCGAGGTCTTTGGACCGGCCCCAGGCCGGTCCTGCCGCTGCCGCCACCCATCAAATCAAGCCCATCAAGTTTAATAAATAAGGAAAACACACACATACACTATAAAACCCTGAGATTCTTCCTCCTTGCCCTGAGGACTGGAGAGGAGAGGCTAGGCCCTGGGATCTGAGGACACTATAAATGTTTCCCTATTAAAAGCTAGCATTGAATCTCAACATTCAATTGTTGAGATTCAAAATAAAGCTCCTGCTTTATTTTTACAGTCGTAAGTATGCTTCGTTCAGCAAAGGACATACTTCTTCCTGCTTCCTTCTCACTAATTTCTTCTCCCTTGGTCCTTTCTTTTAAAGCAGGTATTTCACTGTTTTCTGTTCATTTGCTATGATTGCAATATTTAAGAATGACCATTAATTAATAAGATCCTGTTCCCTCCAGGGAAAGTTTTAATTACTAGTTATGTCTTTGTAGCCAAAATAATTTCTCATTGCTTCTGTTTTAATGTTAGGGTTTTGTTATTTCAGTCATAAAATTGCTCTCTTTAAAACATAGAAATAAAATGTTTTTCGGACTACAAAGTGGAAAATAGTGATTAAAAATCCTCTCCTGTTCCCATACTCATCTGGGAAATGAAATTAGGGCAATTCAGGAGTTCCATAGCATACAAACAAGAAGAAACTCATTAGAAAAAAAGGGGCAAGAAGGAAGCCACTAATTATAAGAGCAAGAGAATTGCAAAATCTCCAAAGGCTGCCATTTTGTTCTAGAACAAACAAAATCTCCACAGATCAGGTCTGGAAAAGATAGGAGGGTAAGACAGAAAAAACTGGAATAGCAATAGCATCATCTAAGACAGAGGTACTGGACCGCCTCTCTGAATAAGATGGTAGGCTGGATGACACCCCAAACCCTCTTCCTTTGTCATAATCTAATCTCCCCACCTCCAAGATGTCATTTCCCCATTCTCCATGAATAGAGAAGCACAGAGTCCCATGTTTTCTCAGCACAGCAAATGACATCTGATCTCAGATTGGATGTAACAGAATTAGTCCTTCATCACCTCCATTTCATTCCCAGTGGGAAACATGAACAGGGGAGGGGAGAACTTCCGCTGCTATCTTAGGTCTAAAATCAAAGACATGAATGAAGCTCCTTCCTGCTGCCCCACTTGAGTTCCCATCAAGGATTGTAAGCAAAGCAGGGCAATCTGGCTGGTTTCCCTGGTATCTGACTGGACATACCTGTGAGATTAGCTTGTCTCTCAGATTCCCCACTAGGGTTTCACTTACCTGTAGCTTGCCTCTTGAAATGGAAATGCAAGAATCTCCGCCAACCTGGAAGCAGAGCTTCACAGAGGAAGAAGGGCATCCTAGATCCCTCATGGGCTGGATTTTGACCCTCTTTCAGCCCAGCTGAGTGCACAGATTAGAGTTTTGCCTCTCTTGATCTACAAGAGCTATAGAAATCTAGCAGACACAAATAATTTACTAGAGACTAAACAGCTAGTCTGGAAGCAATGCAAAACAGTCTTGAATAGGTGTGTGGGTGGTAGAGTTCTTGATCTGCCTTGCTGGACACTGGCTTTTTGTACATCCTTTCCTTTATTCAAGGGACAGTCACAGCAAAGTCCTTGGCCTTCATCATAAAATGGACATGACCTCTTTGTTTTTTTTTCTGAGAAAACAGGCAGTGGGTGTTCTAAATTGTACTACAAATCACCCCATTTCAGCATTTGTGTAAGACCCCCGAACATAATCACACTTGAACCAGTTACATTTCATAAAGATATCCTATTTTCCCCTTCTAGAGCTCCCAGTTAGGATTTGTCATCTTGCCACCTCACCTGTCGGTAGGAAGACAAATTGTTTTCAGCTTCAAGGCGCAGATTAATCTCATCCTGTAACCTTAAATGAGAAAGAGAAAGAGAAAAAAAGGTAGGGGGGGAAAAAACAGGCAGCCTTATTGAATTATTGGCTCATCTCTTCCACAAGGGACCAAGACCAAGGGAAAACAACATCAAGGTCAAAGTGTCCGTGATGCACTGGAACCTCTGCTAATCCCTGGCTGCTTATGTACTTGCACACTCAGCCTTGCAAGGTTTCTACCCCTCTGGCTTCTGTATACAATGATGTCCATTATGAACAATAATCTTGTTATTAATATAGCGGGGGCCCAGAAGGACTCAGGTAGGATGAGTGGTACAACCTCCTATCTCTCCTCAAATTTAGAGAGTAGGGGGGTATGTGACCAATGCGGCAAGGAGGGATGACATGCACACTACATTGGAAACATGTTGGCATGTTTGCTTGTGGGAAGGGAGAGAAACGAACTCCCACCCTCGTTTTTGTCACTGTCAGGCGCCACTGTCACTGCCACCCTCACTTCCAATTGGTTTTAACATTCAGTTCCTGTGGAAGAATGCTGGGAATACACAATCATTTCCAGCACACCATAAGACATAAAAAGTGGGGGACTGCCTTCCTTTCTCCTTTTTACAAAGGTCTTTTTTCATACTGTGGCAGTCCCCGAATAGGAGAGAGGGGGGAAAGTCCAGTCTTGTCTGCGGGTGGCCCCATTTCACTAATCTTCTGATCAACAAGGACCACCAAGTTTGTAATTAGAGGGAACTAATGAGGAGCTGCAATGAAATATTACAAGGCATTGCAAGCCCGAGTTAGTGTTGCAGAGCAAGGATGGGTAACTTGTGGCCTTAGGGCTACATGCAGTCTTTGGCTTATATGTGCACCTTCAGCCATGTTTCAGAGGCTCACTGAAAGTGATCAACACAGGCTTTTTGTCTGGAACACAATTCCCAGAATACTCCAGCCACTGTGGCCTAATTGACCACCTACCAAGAACAATTTTTCTTTGCAAAGACAATTACATCCTCCCAATTGGTTAAAGGACTGTATGGGTGAAAAATTGGGTCAGATTTCCTTCCTATTCCCATCAGCTCCAAGGTGAAATTAAGTAAGGTCTGCTATTTCATTGAGCCTGGAGAGCCCACCCACCTAACTCTCTTACCTAGTAATAATAATATTTATCTATAAAGCCCTTTCTACCAAATGGTGGAGCATCAAACATATATAATCAAACATGGACAATAAAACACAACATGATAAAATGCTAAAGTACTAAAATAATATACTAATATACTACCTGTCTTCTGACCTCAGTTTTTAGTGTTTCAACCTTCTAATTTTGCTTCTTCTGATCCCCTCCCTACTTTAAACAAATACAGCCTTTCAGGGGCACAGAGGTTGTTTTTTTTAAACAACCAATGGATTTAATAATATTTAATAAAGAATTAGTTTTTAATCTATTTTTACATCCATGTGACTAATTATAAATCTAATTTTAAAAACTAAAAATAACTTTTCAAAAACTCCCAGTGGTCCTTAAAGACTTGACCAACTTAAAAAGTGGCCCCTGATCCTGGCAGTTGTCCAACCCTGATTCAGAATGATGAGATATTAGAAACCTGGATTGTACCATTTTCTTAATTGTAGTTTGTTGTGGCACCAGAGTTCTCTGACAGATAAGGCTAAATGCCTCACAAAACTACGATTCCCAGAATTTCAGAGCATTGAGCCATGGCAGTTAAAGTGGTGTGGAACTGGATTATTTCTGCAGTATTGATGTAGCCAAAAGTAATATAACAAGTAGAGACAAGTTACTTTATTGGTATGACAGGAGATACATAGGTAAACACATAGACACATATTTCATTTCTTTTCCTTGTCAATCCTAAAAGGCGGAGATAATCAAATAGGTAGAAATTGTGTGATCCTTCCAGAAATGGCTGAACTCCAGCTCCTAGCCATCCTTGGTTAGTCCCAATAAGAGTAGTGTATTTAAATCAAGGCTGAGCTGACACAGAGATAATTCCAATTGATTTCTTGACTCTACTGTAGTTAGGACAAACAACAGAATTTAGGCTTTTGCCCATATAGGCAAAGATGAGAATGCTGGAAGTTGCTGTCCCAAATATCTGAAGCCACACAATTCCTACCTCTTAAAACAAAAACAACAAACAATGAGTTACCTTTGAAATACTGGAATGAAGAACCACAATTAGTTTAGGCTTGCCTAACTGGATCTGGTGAGAGCCAGTAAGGCATAGTGGTTTGAGTGCTGGATTAAGACTCTGGAGATCAGGGTTAAATTCCCAGCTGGTCATGTAACCCAGTAGGTGACCTTGGGCAAATCACATGCTCTCAGCCTCAGGGTAAGTCAATGGCAAACCTCCTCTGAACAAATCTTTCCAAGAAAACGGTATGATAGGATCACCTTAGGGTCTCCATAAATTAGAAACAACTTGAAGGCACATAATAAGAAACAACAACTGCATCTGGCATAGAGTTCTCCTCACTTCCCAAACCCCAGCTTTCAGGAAATGTTGTCCCTTTTCCTCCTGTTCTCTTCTTGTGAGGAAATAGTCATGTGGGAAGAGGATGGCTGTAAATGAAAGTTGTGGTTTGGAAAGTGATGGAGAACAGGTACATTTGTCTCACTTTTGAGAGCTTTATGGTACCTTGTCCTGCTCCAATATCAGTTAAGGATTAAAGTTATAGGAGTGCCATCCTGAATCCAATCTGGCAACCCTACTTCTTTGAACATTACTATGATGAACAGGAATCAATTATTTTTAAAAAGTAACTTTCTAAACCATGCATTAAACATGTTTTTAAAAAGCTGTTGCCACATCTTAAGGTTTCCAAGAAGTGCAGGCTTGTGGTTTTTCAGGATTAGTAAGTCCTGCAAATACAAAAAGAAGGGATGAAGGAACTAGCTAGGAAATGATGTCCTGGTTTAATTTCTTTGTGGGTTTTAGTTCTAAGAGAGTTCCAGATACCACAAATTGCCCCCAACCTTCCACAGTTCCTCACCTCTTATCTATATGGATCTTCTATGCCAACAATTGCAACATCAGCATCCTATTGTTGGCATCTAATCTTTAGAAGTTAAACTGTTCGTGAACATTGCAAGATAGCAAAGTTCTACAGAACAGACTGGTGGTAGTGGTGGTGGGCAGGGGGGGAGATATCACAGCATCTGTGTATCCTATTGTAAACACTGTGGGAATGGTCCTCTACCACTTCAGCAAACAAAACATCTGTGACTATTGTTTGGGCCAGTGATAAGAAATGCTCGGTGTGAGGCATCTGACACAGTACTAGAAGTAATTAGAGGGTCTAACAGTGTCTAATATTTGTACAGCCAAGAGAGAAAATATTATATGGTGACCCAACATTTGTATACTTTGGGAGGAGTCTATCACTAATTATGACATTAGATTCAACTGCTAATCAACCTCTATACATGGAATGCAGGGGGAGGTGGTACCGCATTGTTTTTCCCCTGAGGCTGCAAAACATTTGGGCTACCCCTAGAGCTGGTGGGTGCACATTTTACTCTTCTTGCAAATGGATTCTTTCGGTGCCTTCCCATTGTGAAACTTGAGTCCTTTATGTTTGTTGGTGACACTTTCAGAAGAATTTTGCATAGAATGAGTTTTGCATGTGAAGAACTGAGTATAATATGAGAGATTGGGAAGGGAATGTCTAGTCCAGCTCCTTATCTCCAAATAAGTTCAGGATAGTTTCTTTAAAGTTCAGATAAAAACCCAGAGCAGATTCACCATTCCACTGGCCTGGGAGACACCAGCTCCAAACGCAACCCAGCCTTACAGGAAAGAACAGTGGATCATTAAAAGGTACTCACAAAAGAAAGGGCAGAATAGCTGCAGTTTTCAAGCTTCCTAGTTTTTTATAGATTAGTACCTAATTCACAAGGAATGTTGACCAGATCTGCTGGGCTTCATCATAATTTCCTGTTAACTTCAAAATGTTAATAGTCTCCACTCCCTTTGTGGCTTTGTGTTGCAGAAGACAATTAGTGGTGGGCAAGCTGCCCATTCTGGCAGCTTGCTGGCCATTATAATGTTCTCATTAAAGAACTCCTAATAAGGTTCAGAGGAACCACAAGATTTCCCAGAACTGTTTTGAATTCTATTCTTTATAAGCCAGCTTTTTCTAACCTGGCACTTTCTAGATGTGCTGTGTACTACAACTCACATCATTCCTGGTCAGCAGACTCTATGCTGTGGAGGGTGCCAAGTTAGAGAAAGCTGTTTTTTAAAACCAGCATTACTCAAAGCACTGCTATTGATCCCTGATGATATTCCAGGACAGAAAATGACAATTGTAGCCAACAAGTGCTAATATGGTGCTGTTCCCTTGCATATTGGTGAAAAACATTGCTGCTCCCTTGTGTTAGGTAGCTTAAGAAGCACTGCTTTAGACAACTCAAGTAAATCAACTTAGACAAGACAAACCCCATCCTAGATAATTCTGTCCTATCCTCAAAAGGGATACTTAGAATTGTAGTGTGCAAAATCAACTCTCTAAATCTCTCTCTAAATGACAAATTTCCCCAATGCTCCTGCATATTGTTTTCCTGCTCCATCTCTCTGCCCATTTCTAGATGCACCACAATCACACCCAACAGTCAACATCTTATGGACAGTTTTCTTACTTTTGCCGAAGATTGTTGAGGTCTTCCAGCAGGTTGTCCCTCTCAATCTCCAGCCGGGCCTTAGAGTTGGAGAGTTGATCTACTTGATGTCGTAGCTCCCTCACCTCTTCCTGGTAGATATCAGCCAACTTGGTGGGCTCTTTGTCTCGTATTTGGTTGAGCTCAGCTACCAGAACTTTATTCTGCTGCTCAAGGAAGCGGACTTTCTCAATGTAGCTGGCAAAGCGATCATTCAGCTCCATCATCTCCACTTTCTCATTGGTGCGGGTTTCCTTGAACTCAGTGTTGAGAGCATCGGCCAAGGAAAAATCTATCTTGTCTGGGGAGAATTTAGGGCCAGCACGAAAGCTAAGGCTGGAGGTCTTCAGCTTAGTGACAGAGACCCGGCTGGTGCCACTTGAAGGCAGGTACCTGCGGCCGGGTGAGAACCTCAGGGCATGGTGGACAGAACTGGTTTGTGAACCAAAGCGTCTCCCGTAGGATGACAGCCTCTGCCCTTCCATAGTGAAATCCCTTCTCCAGGCTTTGCAGACTCAGACAGCCTTCTCTGTGTGTGCTGCAAAGGGTTTTTATACAAGAAGGTTAACTATCCCTGGGCATTTGTGTGTGGAGGGCTGGAGAGGGGAGGGAGGAATGGGTTGTATGCCAGGTCCTAACATCTCACATCTACTATGCCAAGTGCCCTGTGCCCTGGAAAAGCAGCAAAAGGAGAACATTGGAGAGAAGCTTAGACATTTCTTGATGGAGTAGAGAGAGAATGCACTTGGATTAATGGTGTATCTGTACCCATCTGTAATGACCAACATAATCCTCTGTTACTGCACATCACTGTAGTGGGATTGCCACAAAACTAGGGATACCCCTTTTGCCTTGGAACCTCAGGGGCATTGATCACAAAAACTCAGTTAATTCCTCCGCCCCCCCCTCTCTCATTTTCACACTGGAGTGGTTCTTGCAATGCTTTGACCAGAATACTCATTTACATGACAAATGGTACTCCTCTACTTGTATAGCCAACAATCACATAATGACCATGTTTACATGAATTGCTTAGTTCTAGAAAGGCTCAAAGGCAATTGAAGTCGCCTCAAAGATGTACGTTTGAATGTAAGCTGTCTATCCAGAGGAGGTTTGCTCTGGTGAATTTTTAAACTGAATAGTATTTTGAGCCAGCTCTACCAGAAAGCCACATCCTGTGGTCTTGAAGCTCTGTGCCCTGTTAACAGTACAGTGGGCCCTTGGTGTCCACTGGGGTTTGGTTCCAGGGCCTTCCATGGATTCCAAAATCCGTGGATGCTCAAGTCTCATTATATACAATGACATAGCAAAATGGTATCCTTTATATAAAAAGGGAAAAATCAAGGTTTGCTTTTTGGAATTTGGAATTTAAAAAAAAAAACATTTTCAAGCCATGGAAGCTTGAATTCGTGGATAAAGAATCCATGGATACAGAGGGCCAGATGTATAGTGGTATTAGCAATTATTAGAAAACAATGAAGAAAAAGCACTCTGCATGTGCTTGTGGGAAAGAGGAAAAACAATGGGCATGCCTCTGTGCTTGTATAGAATATCCTTTTCCTCACTGAATAACTGCAGTCAACCCTGAACCGGCTGGATCAAATTGTTGATCAGAAAGTATAACTTCATGGAGACTTGGGCATCATTTTTAGAAATTAAGATCTGAACACACCGCTGTCTTTCCTCCATGAATCTGCTGTCTTCCTTTGCTAAAACTGTCCAAGTGACAAAACTTTGATTCATCTCACCAGCCAGCTGAGCAAAGTAGTTGAGAAGCTAATTAAGAGAGATTTAAATTCAATGTCTCTTTGAACCCCCTTTCCACTCCAGCGGTTCTTTAAAGGCAGCACCCATCAAAAAATAAATAAAAATTCTTGTTCCATAAACTTCTGGACTTCTTGTCAACTGAGACTCCGGGACAAGATATATCTGGTACCCATGGAGAAGAGAAAAGGCTGGGAGGGATAGGGAAGTCAGGGGTTGATGGCACGGTGGCAGCTTGTGGTCCAAGCAGGAAGGGATAAACTCAGGCTGATATTTTGAGTGCACCCCCTCCCCTTATAAGCCACCTATGGTTGATTGATTCAAATCATTCAGTGAAAACAAAGGCAGTGAAGCTTGACTAGTAAATACATCCTTTAACTCAGCCTTCCCCAGTCTGGTGCCCTTCAGATGTCTTGGACAAGTCCTGTAGTAGTAGTTAGCAGGGTGTGATGGGAACTGCAATCCAACACAACTAAAGGACACCAAGTTGGGAGATGGTGCTTCAGTAGACCTTCTCAGGGTTATGGACTTTGTTGTGTTAAAGGCAGTTTTCTTAGTATAGCCAGAGGCATGAGCCAGGGATAATTTAAGAGATTGATTAGTTCTTTAAAGAAATCAGCTTAGAAATCAGAGTTCTTCTCTTTAATTCTCAGCCAGCAAGGTGAAGGGATCCTACAGACTTACAAGAAAATTGGGAATTTTGAATATTAAGAGGCAGTCAGTATAGCTGAAGTTTTGGAAGTGGGAACTAGTAAGGCAGAGACAGAGTTTGGGCTCCTGGATACCTGGCTTAGAGAGCGCTATGGAGTAGTCCAGTTGGGGCACACATGTGCACTTTGGACTTACATGCAAGAAAATCT